CTGAGGACCTATCCACGCCATCATTTACCCAGAATGCTTTGCGTGGAAATAAAATGGCCCTCTCTGTGTAACATTTTAAAACTTTTAGTTTAAAAATTATAAAAACTAAACATCCTACAGTATTTTTACAGTCTTTATTTTACAGTTAAATATATGTTTATTAAATAAATAATGTTACAACTAATCAGGGATCCCTTTAAGAAGCCACAAAAGGGCTTAGGTTTTGTCACTGTTAGTTTTTCTTGTATAATATGAGAAATTTAACCCCAAAAATTATTCGTAAAGTGGTGGGGTAGTATTATACACTACGGCGGCTGTGGCAGAGGGGTTAGGGGAGTCGTCCTGGAACAGGAAGGTCACCGGTTCAATCCCCCGTCCAGCTGTCTCAGTTGTTGTGTCCTTGAGCAAGACACTTCTGCCCTAATGCCTCTGATGTCCCATCAGAGTATGAATGTGATTGGCACTGATTAGTCTCCATAGCTGATTGTACATGTTATCTTTGTAGAGACCTAACAGAGTGCTGTGTGAATGTGTAAATGAGGACACAGATTGTAGTGTGAAGAGCTTTGAGTGTCCTGGATGGATAGAAAAGTTCTATATAAATACAGTCCATTTACCATTTATACATGGAGTAAATTTTGACTGACTTTTTTAAATGTACAACCACAATACGTTTCAATATTTCCTCGTATATAACTGAAATATCCCTCCGAAACTGTTTACTCACAGGAGACAGATTGAAAAAAAACTCAACATGTAAAAAAGACTTGAACTTTAGTTGCATGTTCCGATAAATCCATCTTAATAATTTACCAAACGGCTTCTGCTCTGGTCTGGAAGCAGATTGTTTTTATGGTAACACAGAACCCATGTCAAGTTGTATGGATTGTGTGTAATTTACACAGATTTTCCATCATTTTGCAGGGATATGGACGTATAGAGTAAACTCACAGATTTTTGTTTTACAGATTTTTTCAAAACTCCAGTTTCAAATAAATTTAACATGTCAGAACCTGTAGGATGTTAAAAAAAAAACAATAAATCACATCATAAAACAACCTTCCAACCTGCTCTGCTGCTAGAAATAAGTTCTCCACTTCGCCTGTTCTCCTTTCCTCCTGATTTGAAGTACACACTGTCACAGCCCTCCACCCCCCAGCGGGTCAGAGTAGTATGGATTTTTTGCAAAAATTACTGATTTTTGAGGCTCATTATACAGGTAAACGTCCGGAGGGGTTGACATGTATGAGGACCGGAAACTTCCACTGCACACTCTTCGCAGCTCTGCAGCAAAACATGCCCACACAAGTGTGTCTCCGTAAATATGACCACCAGAGGGCACACCGCGAAGGCTAAAGTCAGTCTGAAATGAGTGGTGACTCAAAAGATCAGATGTTTTTATGCTTTCTAAGCTGGTCGTATTTTACTCAAGATCGTATTATGCATGAATAAATACGTAATGTTTTGGTTTATGAAGTTATTTTTTCTGCCTTGCTTCAGAGTTTTGTTCACACAAGAAAACTCTTGTTTAGTTTTTTTTTTAATTTGTGCTTCCTGCTGATAGGTACCACTACTGTGAGAAGTGTTTCAACGAGATCCAGGGAGAGACTGTTTCCTTAGGCGATGACCCCACCCAGCCTCAGACGTGAGTATTACTTCATATAAAAACATCTACTTTTACTATTGCCTGCTGCCATCAAAGGTGGGCCATCGTCTGTTTGCCTGTTCACAAGGGTTCAAACGTTTCAGCAGACAATTTAATTGTAAAACATGATTTATATTATGCTAATCTGAATCAGTTTAGTATATTTTGTAAATATATTTGACAGTTTTGTAGGAATGAACATATTAATTATATTTATTCAAAATGAACCTGCTTCTTATTACTTCTGCAAGATGTTTAAAAGAAAGTATCATCAGTAAAAAGCCTCAAATCATGACCTGTTTCTACAAATTGTGTTTGTAACACTTCAGAAGAACTCTTAACTCTTGTAGATAAAAAAGACAACAGTTAAAAATGCAACCATCCAAAAAACCTTCCTTTCAATCACTGAAAATAATTTATTTACCACATTTTAAATCTGGGCCCTAAAGGGTTAATGCTCCTGACACCGTCTGTGCTGTGGTCTGATGGTGACACAGCAGATCATTCTGCCTGGACTTAAGGTGTTTTGAGTTCACAAACAACTCTGGTTACTTTTTTAAAAGTTGAGGGACGTTACATTAGCTACATTAGCTCAGCGCTAACAGGCACAGAGCCGCTGACTCCTGGTCACACCGGGTCTGTGTTGGTGGTTCTTGCTGTATCAGAGTTATTATTGATAAGGTAAACATGCTGTAGCTTCACCTGTTGTGTCTTTCTTGAAAGAAAAAAAAAGTAGCTCAAAGCTGTCGCATCAGACAGTTTTCATCAAGCGTCACATCACACACACATACATGCCTTGCTATCTTTGAGAGGACGACACACACAGACACAGCCTCGCTGCACACAAGAACCAGCAGTGTTGGTTTTTCAAAATAAAATACATCTCAACTTTTCATTGATGTTTAAATAGGGTTTTAAAGTCTGATTATGGTTAGTATAAGAGAGCAAATATAGGATATAAATATATATGATATGCTTTACATTGTTTTAGCCTAATATAGGCCTATTATTAAAAACAGAAAAAACTTTATTTTGAAAGTTTGGCGGTTATGACTTTTGCCGTGGCGGTGCGCCACGATCAATTACATGTAGGGGAAACCCTGGATGCATTTTCCAAGCATTTGGAACAATGCTGGGAGGGTGTTAATGTTAATAGGAGTCCAAATTCAGCAGCTTTATAAAGACAATTTATAATTTTTCTTCATTATTTAAAATATTGTTTTAGAGTATTGAGTTATTATTTGAGAATACCTGTGTATCGTTTAATAAGAATTTAACAATTTACTTTCATTTTTATTGTTCCGTCTACTGCTCACAACTTGTGGTGAAGTAAGAATAAAAATATATACACATTTTTTTCACTCAAAACAGTTAAATTTATATACGATAATTAAAGTAACTTGAAACTTGCAACAAACTCAAGTTTAAACAATTTACAAATTTACAAAAAACCAACAGGCAAAAACAAATAGCAGGTGTCTTATATCATATTTTCAATAAACATTACATGTTATCATATTTTCCCAATAACTTGGACTTAATCTCCTTTTTGAACATACAGTGTGTTTTGGGAGATTTTATATTATTAATATCTAGACAGTTCCATAAACCTATTCCCTGAACTGTAACACATGGCCCCTCAGACTAGTTCTGAATGGAGGTTAAACAAAAATCTCCTGTCCCTTAAGGTTATACTGACTCTCTCTTTTAACAAATTTTGACTGAATATTTAATGGTAACATTGTTTAATGAGTCATAACATAACTTGCAGAATAATGAAATGTGGTGTCATCAGCAAACAAAATATATTTTAAAAGCCTTGATATATTGACCAGATTATTCACATTCAAAATAAACAGCTTTGGTCCAAGTACAGGACCCTGAGGAACTCCACAATAAATATTATATAATTCAGATCTTACATTATTTACCTGAACAAACTGTTTCCTGTTATTCAGATAACCCAATGTTGTGCTAATCCTCTAATGCTGTATTTATTTGGCTTTTCAAGAAGAATAGTGTGGTGTGGAAGGCCTAGCAAAATACTGTTTTGATCAACAGTTGTTGTTATCTCTTCCATTAATTTCATAAGAGCCTCTGATGTTGAATTATTTGTTCTAAAATCATATTGACAGCTGCTTAAAATATTATGTCTATAAATTGATCTAATAATAATAATTTGTCTAATTTTTTAAACCATGGCCACAAGGGTATTGGTCTGAAATAATTGAACACACACTTCTCACTATTCTTATAAAGAGGAATTACCTTAGCTAGCTTCATATTGTCTGGAAATATTCCTGTTGAGAATGATAAATTACAAGTAAATGACTCAATGACGTATCTGTTACAAACATCGTATCCATGTTCACCCAATCTTTTGATGTTTTGTTGGCAATATTTTTTTATACTCAGTATTTCTTCTTTATCAGTTTTAACAAGAAAAATACTGTTGGCACAATGTATAACTCACATTATTATCTACTGTATTTTCCGATCATAAGTCACATCAGAGTGTGTTGTTTCAGTCAAAAAATGTGTCACGAAGAGGAAAAAACACATAGATAAGTCGCACCTCACCATAAGTCACAGGACAGACATTTGATCTGGAAAAACAGTAACACAGAACATAGCTCCTGCATTTCATGCTGAATAGCCTTAATTAACACAGATGACACAGCTGAGAGTAACTTTACATAAATAATTGTTCTGGTAGCAAAAATGTAGTGAAGCTTTCATAAAGTAAACACTGGATGTACCTCTATAATTGATTAACTCACTCAAAACTTAACTGGTCAGTCCTAAATAGTTCTACCTGCTGAACAGTGACTTTTTGTTGTTAATTTTTTATGCTGCTTTCGTTTTCAGGTCAATTAACAAGGATCAGTTTGAGAAGAAGAAAAACGACACACTTGACCCTGAGCTGTAAGTCCAGTTCTTGACTTGTCACGTCCTAAAACTGAGGAGAACAAAAGTTTCAATCTGTTGTCTTGTGTGTCTGAATTCAGGTTTGTTGAATGTTCGGACTGCGGGCGCAGGATGCATCAGATCTGTGTTTTGCACCATGAAACTATCTGGCCATCAGGGTGAGAAGCTTTGTTTCTCATTTCATCTGGAAGATCTGGTACTATTTGTAAAATATTGTTTTATGCATTATAATTGTATTTTCTCCCTGTCCTGTTTTGTGTCCCACAGTTTTAGATGTGATGGCTGCTTAAAGAAGGCAAATAAGGCAAGGAAGGAGAACAAGTATTCTGCCAAAAGTAAGTGGCAATGCTTTTGTATTTATGTTTTTATGCATCTATACTGTGGCATTTGTTTTTACTGTTTTCTTGCTCTAAATACTAATGGTAGAATATTCCCCTTCTAACATTATTCCCTATTTCTTATTTACATTTTCATTTCAATTGCACAATTTTTTTTTCTTTGATAGGCAAACTTTCGTAGTTAAAGTTAGGGAACCTAGCTACGTTTAAAAAAGTGCTATATTACAGGCTATGTTAATCAAGGGCCACAAATGTAACTGAACAACTAACACTCATGCAGAAATTAAATAAGAAGTCCTGTCTAGTTTCACTGTACTGTTTAAAGTTGTGTTTATTGTGGCTGTTTTCACACTTGTTACCATATTGTACCACAGGGTTGCCTCAGACCAAGTTGGGCTGTTTTCTCGAGACAAGAGTGAACGATTTCTTGAAGCGCCAGGCCCATCCTGAAGCCGGGGAGGTCTTCATTCGAGTTGTGCACGTCTCTGATAAAGTGGTGGAAGTGAAACCAGGCATGAAGTCCAGGTACAAAAAGATGTGACATAGTTCAACCCTAAAGTAAAGGTTTCTCTCAGTGAAACCTTGCTTTTTAGTCAAACCTGTCTCTTCACATTTAAGGTAACAAAAACTTTAACGTGTAAAATAAAATGTTTATCGCAAGATTAGCTAAAATGGAAGAGCACTGACACATTTCAAATATTTTTCTTAATCTTTCTGTATAATTTATATAAACCACTACTAGATGATGGATGCAGATGTACTTGTGTAAATATGAATGTCTCCTAATGTTTTTGTCCCCAGATTTGTGGACAGTGGCGAGATGTCAGAATCTTTCCCATACAGAACAAAAGCTCTGTTTGCGTTTGAAGACATTGACGGTGTTGATGTCTGCTTCTTTGGTATGCACGTTCAGGAGTACGGATCTGACTGCCCTCAGCCCAACCAGAGGTAAGGAAATCATAGTACAAAGGCTGTTCTAACAAACGTGTTTACCCACTCTTTTAATATATTTCTTCTAAGATGAAAAATAAATATAGTGCATACACTGCCTGGCCTAAAAGCCTACCGTTGGATAATTATTGCATGGGTGATGAGCTGACAAGTTATTTAAACCCAACTGATGAAGTGAGTAGCTTCTCATTTCTTAAACAACCATGTTGAAAGACAACCTGTGGTTGTGGAAAAGATGTAAATTTGGTTCAGAGGGGTCAAAAAAGGAGCTCCAAAACTAATAAAATCAGGTTAAGAACTGCCCAATACATTATTAAAACCTGGCAGCACAGTGGACAAACATCATATTTGAGGAAGGAATGCGGTCGGACAAAACATCTTGAATATTCATGATCGGCGATCCCTTAAAAGTTTGGTAAAAAACGGTTTTAGTTGTAAAACTATAAACGGGTGGAAATTAGCGCCCGCCGCTGGCCAAATGCAGGTAAAATTATGAAGTGGCGTGTAGATCTGAACAACGCACCCGCCACCGTGGCAGGTGTGTAATGAACTGAAAATAAATAAATAATTAAAATGCGTTCAAATCGCGCAACTGACTTTTGTCAGAACCTCAGTTTCATTTTTTGTTTTGCATTTCAGAGCCTGTAGGACGTTAAAAAACATTAAATAACATCAAACAAACCCGCTCTGCAGCTAGAAATAAGTTATCCCCTCCTTTCCTGCGCGGTCATCTGTGGTCCGCCTGCCCGCTCCCCAACCCGCCCCAACACACACACACACACACACACACACACACACACACACACACACACACACCGTGCACGCATTATACAGGTAAAAGTCCGATTATCAGAAGGAGAAAATAAAAACCAACCTTGAATGTGGCGTTACATATCTGGAGTAACGGAAACAAAACCTAAAAATAGAAATGATCACTCTGAGACAATGGATCATCTAAAGGGATTTCAATCTGTTATTGAAATCTCACTTAGAACAGAAAAAAGACACACATTCATACTAGTAGCCTGTAGAACAAAAACTACAAGTGATAAAATTCAAAGGCTTTTATTAAATGAAGGAGATAATGCGATACATGGCGTGCTCTTCACCCTGACAACAAAGAATATACGTTCTTCTCACATGTTCATCACTCTTATTCTCGCCTGGACTACTTTTTAGTCAGCAGTTCATTGCTGACCAATATTTCAGACAGTGAGATACACCCTATTGCTGTCAGTGATCATGCACCAGTCTCTCTAACCTTAGTTAATAAGAAAGAAATAAAAACAAACATAAATTGGAGATTTAATACATCATTGCTCAATGATGAACAGTTTTTAAAATATTTTAAAGAGGAATAGACATCACATCTAGAGTATAGATAACCAGACTTTAATGTTAATGTGTATTCAGCTATACCACAAAGCACTATGTTACACTGCTCTGACAGATTCACAGTCAGTCATCATATTGTAATCTATCTTCAAAGTAGTCATATATGGATTTTGTCCTGCACCCTGCTCTTATTTTAAGTAGTTTATAGTGGTAGTAGTATAGACGCTATTATGATGGGAGAATTTAATAACCCTTTATTTATCTATACAGGCTGAAACAAATCCATGGTTTTCTTATCAAAACTATGACTACAAAAAATCTCTGTATATCCTTTATTTTATTACACAAAGTTATTTTTCCAGAGCTCAACCCAGGTACGACCCTTTCAGCCACACCCCGCACCCCCAGCCCAGAGGCAGCTATGAGCCCCACCCAAACTGGCCAGGTAGTGACCCAGTTTCAGATCAATCCGACCGCTCCACCACATCTGGAAGGCAGCTGCTCATGGACGCCCCCTCGCAAAGTCCATGTTTTTTTTCATTTCATAGGTCTTTGGCAATATGGACCCCCTCCCACACAGAGTCCTTTTTAGAGTTCATTTCTTTGATCTTTGAACTCCATCACATGGCATGTTGCATAAAGTCCGCCAGACCTCCGGTTTGTCACATGCTGACTCCATCACATCGCACAGACTAGTTGTCAGAACAGGTGTCTTTGGAGATTACCCGGACCACACTTCAACTGTGCCCCTGATCGCCATTTTGAGCTTGACAGGCATGGATCATGGTGTATGTTAGGACTGTCTGCCCAGGCTTGATTCCCAGTCACAAGAATAAGAACCCACAGGACCCCCAAACTAGAGGCCAGAATGCTACCTCAGTGAGCTCCCCTTAATTGAACATCAACCTACTAGTGTAACCATTGTGTGACAGCTACATTATTACCTGTTTAGCAAGTGTCGTATTTGAATTCGAGCCCATATAGATACTTTATGACTTATTAGAGCACTGAACAGCTCTGTGGCCTAAATCCCCACAAGTGAAACATCTCATAGACGCCCGCTGAATTTTTCTCTGAACCTTTTCTAATCTGAGACGTTTTCTCTTTCCCATAGTCACATTATTTTGCCCCTCTTCCTGTAATGGCTGTGATGGTAACCTTTGAGTTAGTTTATTTACAGTTATCTCCAGTTGATTTACTCTGTCTATAAGCTCTTTCAGCTGATCATCAGTACACTGTGCTTGATGTAGACCTGTCAGATTCTTTGTTGACACGCTCCCCATCCCCATGTCTAACTCACATTCTGTCTGACAGCCTATGGTAACCAATCGCTTTTGTCCGGCCCCCATGGTCATGCCAGACCGATCCATTTTGGAGTTTTTTTCTCTTTTTTTCTTTTATAAACCGGCTAATAAGCGTATACCTTTGTCTATTTATTTGGAACAGGCTCGGAAGATTAAAACGGAAAAATAACTTTGACACCCAGTCTCAACCTGAAAATTATATTTGTGTGTGTGTGTATGTGTGT